ACTGCGTGGAGCGGGGCCGGGAGGGGAGGGGGGGGCAACTTCCAGCAGCCCCCGCGCGGCGGGAGGGGCTTTGCAAGGTGACTCAGGGGTTTCCCCGGGGCGCGCGTGCAAGGGGGGGGCGTGAGTGTGTGCGCGTGTGTGTGGGGGCACGCAGGTGTGTGTGTGTGTGTGTGTGTGTGTGTTTGTCATAGCAGGTGCGTGCGAAGCGGGCGCAGGGCCCTCCTGCTAGGCGGAGGTGTGCAATGTGAGGGGGCGTGGGCGCAGCGCGTGTGCAAGGGTTGGGGGCGCACGTGTGTGTGCAAGGGGAGGCGGAGTGCAGGGAGTGACTCTGTGCACACGTGTGTGTCCCGGACACCTGGGTCCCGTGGATGCAGCGGGGTCGTGCCCCGGACCGCCTCAGGGAACCCAGGCGTCGGCCGGCCGCTTCTCCCGGATCCAGGACGCCGCGGGGCCGGGATCGAGCCGGGCTGTTCAGCCGCGGGCGCGGGATCCCGGCGCCCCCTGCGGGCGGGGAGGTGGGTGCAGCTCGTGTGGGGGTATGAATGTGTGCGTGTGTGTGCACCCCTCCGTGTGTGTGTGTGTGTGCACCCGTCTCTTTGTCTATACACCTGCGGGTGTCGGGTGTGAGTGTGTGTACCCCTCCGTGTGCCTATACGTGTGTATGCATGTGTGTGTGCACCTATGGATTTATATGCGTGTGTGTACGCAGGTGTGTGTACACCGCGGTATGTGTCTATACATGCGTGTGTGTGACTGTGCACCTATATGTTTATATACACGTGTGTGTATGTGGGCGTGTGTGCACATCCCTCCATGTGTCTACATATGTCCGTGTGTGTGTGTTCCCCTCCATGTCCGTGTGTGTGTCTATATACATGTGTATGCACACGTGTGTATGTGTGTCAGTACAGCCATGTCCAGCAGCATGTGCGTGTCTGTGCACCTCTGCCTATATATGTGTGTGTGTGTGGGGGGGGCTGTATACAGCTCTGTGCACCTCTGTAGAGGCATGTGCAAGCACATGCATATGTGTGAACATGCCTGTTCGTGTGGGTTGGAGCATGAGTTGAGTGTGTGTGGAGCAGTGGACCAGGGTGTTTGCCTGTGTGGTGACACACGTGTTGTGTGCACATAGCAGCACGGTTGTGCACAGCCAGACACATGGGTTTGTGTCCTCCCATGGCAGTGTGTGCGTGCCTGTCAATCCACACGTGTGTGCTTACACGTCTGTGCATGCATCCGTGGAGAGGCAGATATGCGTGCATGTGGGGGTCTCTGTGCACACGTGCGAGCCAGGCCCCTTACCTCTGTATGTGTGTGTGTAAGCCCCAGACACCTGGGTTTCCTGTGTGTGTGCACGTTCATGTATCCCGGATCTGGGTTGTGTGTGTGAAAGTGTGTGCAACGACCCATTGGCGAGTGTGTCCACGTGCCCAGGCGTGTGTGTCGGAGTGCGTGTGCGTGGGCACGTGTGCGCTGGGGCGTGTGCAGCCCATTGCTCTGCGCCCTCCCAGAGCGGGAGAGAACCCAGGCGTCCGGGCCCCTCCCCCCTCCCCCAGCAAGAGGCTGGCACGCAGTGCGGGGGTACAGAGCTTTATTGCCCCTCGGGGGGGTGGGGGCACTAGCAGGGGAAGGGTTAAGGGTGGGGTCTATTGCACATCATTCTGGGGGTCCCCGTTGCCAAGGCTCTGTCATCAGGGCAACTGCTGTATGCAGGTGCCAGTCCCGTTGCTGTGGGGGGGTGTTGTCGTCACGGCGACCTGTCACCCCCAGCGAGTGTTGCCAAGCGCCTTCCGTTGCTGTGGCGACCGGTGCCCACGTCAGCCCCCGTCGCTAGGCGCCCCCCAGTTGCTAAGGTCAGTCCAGCATCTCTAGGGCAGGGGTGCTATGGTGACCGGGGCAGGAAGGGACTACATCTCCTGGGGG